CCTTATTTTCGGCCATAGGCTAAAATAAGTGTAGGAAAACTTTATGTTTGAAAGGAATTAAATGGAAAGGAGCTTTGGATGTTTAGGGTGGGGTTTGGCAGAGTGGGAGTTGGTTGGCAGAACCCTTAGGTCCGAAGTTATTTTGGCCTCTCGGGTTGAAGGACTTGGAATTCTCATTAAAATGAATCATAATGTTTGAACGTAAGTCCTTTGGTTTTTGCGAGGGTGTGGGACATGGGGGAGGGTATGATAAGGCCAAGCCCGGATATAACAACAAGTGTATAACATCAACTCCTATAATATGCCTCAACACCATAGTTATTAATGGGGGCTCGCCATCTTCGCATAAGGTGCTCGCCATCTTCGCCAACGGCTGTAATAAGTTAGGCGAGGCAAAGTGAGAGAGGCGCACCATGGCGCTCACCTTTTTTAGCTTTTACTTATGATGCAAGGCGTTCCCCAGTTTTGCTTAGAGGATAGGTCAACTATTTTTTAAAAAAAATTGGGCCCGTGCTGACTTTGACCTAATTAACTGTGGAGTAATTTAAAACAAAACTGCACACCGCTTCTCTGCTTTTCTTCGCATCAGCACAACCCTACGCCTTTAACGCTTCTCTTCGCTTTAGCGCCATCAAACTATTCTATAGCTTCTCTTTGCTACCGTCTTCCCCGTCACACCAATCTTTCAAAGGCCGTCTTCCCCATGACGCATGTTTACAACAAAAAAGAGAAAAAGGTTAGACCACGTTAAGTTGAATGGCTTAGTATTTGTCAAGTACAATGGAGCACTTACTAGGTGTCACAAAATGCGTGACATGATTGATTTGATATCCTTGGCAAATATAGATGATAGTAGTGAGTGGTTGGTTGATGATGAAAATTGAGGAAAAATTAATGAAATCCCGGTGGGTGACGTTTGTCGAGTATCTAGAGATGAAGAGCTAATCTACTATACTCGAAGGCCATCAAAGGGTGGTTCAAGTAGTTGAACACAACAAGCACACCCAAAAAGACTTACAAACATGCAACAACAGGGGCGGAGGAGACCGGGGGGGCACGGTGGGGCACGTGCCCCCGGCGATTTTCCAGTGAAGTACTGTCCACATAGTGCCGCGACGGAGTTCTCTGGTTGTCCCCCCTTTACTCCTGCAAACCCTCCAGGTCTTTTTGCTTTTTTAATTTACTTAGTAATTTTCGGTGCGTGCTATTTGTTTCAATAAATGCTTTCACTTCGTGTTCAAATGCTTTTTGTTTAGGTGACAATTGCAATGTCTCAATTTACTTTGTTTTATGTTAAAAAATGTTCAAGGTTTTGTTCATTTTAAAAGATTTAAAAAATAAAATATTTTTTATAAATGATTACATTGTCATTTTATGTTATTGTTACTCCCTCTGTCCCTAAAAAATTGTTAGAGTTTGACTTTTTTAGTCAAACTAAGGCACCATTTGACCAAAAATTATGGAACAAGTATATATAGTTATAATGTAAATTTAGTAAAATTGGGTTTATTTTAAAATATAGTTTTAAAATATCAAATTTTTATAATATTTAATTATTTTAAACGATATTTAATTATTGGTCAAAGGGTGTCAAACTGTGGCAATCTTTTAGGGACGGAGGGAGTATGTTTTTATTTTTTATTTTTGAAAGGATATTTGAGGTATAATTATTAATTTCTTATCATTTCATATTGCGTTTAAAAACAATCTGGGACAGCGCCCCCAGCGCCCCCGGACCCTCGCCTATGCCCCCCAAAACAAAGCCTCGAGTATTAGACACGATGTAGGACTTCTGGCCCTTATCAAGGATATGACCTTAGATAGGAGCGTCAGAAGATCTAGGAATAATGTAGTTGGATAGTCGTTTGTGTCTGGGTGGTAGTTTTTGCTCTAACCGTTGTGTGTTCTCGTCTTGGGGTCTTTTTGCTCACGATAGTTTGTGTGCCTTTGGTTTCCTTGCACTCTCCTTACCCTTAGCTTGCTCTTTGCTTCTTTGTTGTGCTGTGTGCTTTTTGTGTTGCTCAAGTTGGGGTCTCTTGGAAACATCCTCTATTCCTCTCTACCTTCAAGTAAGGATAGGTTCTACGCATGCACACCCTCCCCGGACCTTACTTTCGTGGGATTTTACTTGGTTATTGATGATGATGATGAGGATGAAAAATATGGAGAAGAGTGTGATTGGTGCCAGCAATGCGTCGAACGATGGTGGCTTGATTTTAAGCGAGGGAGATTATGATTAAGTATGCTACGTTGCTACTATATTTTTAATGTTTAATGACTAATAACTTGTAAGATTGGTTTGCTGTTTATTGTACGTGTAACATATTGTTTTCCTTGGGACAATTATGTAGTGATAAAGACTTCAAGATATGCAATGCATAATATCTATTGCAATATATAACTATATATTTTGTCTATATATACACATACATATAAATACACACACACATATGATATATGGGTTTAAAGAAGGAAAAATGCTCTGGCAATTTTGGTGACTGGGAACGCCGCCGTCGATGCTTCACTCGTAGGCCTAGTTCTTCAGGTCGCCGGCACTGGGGATTTCAGTGAAATCAGAGTTTTGACCTCAACCCTCTTCCACCAGCACGACATCGGAAAGTTGATTGGAGATGGAAGCACCCTTCATACGATGACCGCGACAGAAGAGGTCAGGTTATTCACCGGCATTCTTCACAGGTTTGGAGGGTTAATTGAAAGACGTCTGGGACGGGTGGAGGAAGGAATAACAATTCGCTCAATTTCAGAATACAATCTAAGGTGTTCCTATTTTCCATTCCTTCTACCAAATTTTTTTTTATATCTCTGAGTTTGGGAGGAAAACTGTCCATATCTTGTTTAGCATAGAAGCTGTTACATGGATGATTGAAATAGTACCCAAACTCTCAATTTAAAACGACTGTGCTTACTCTAGAGATGAGAAACATAGGAAGCTGTCTATCCCCTTTAACTCAAATTGCTGGGGAAATTTCATCAGATTTCTGGAGTCTAGGGCAAAAGCATGGACCTCCATGTTCGTTCCTGTTGATAAAGATAATCCTTATCTGTTTTGGCGAGCTCTAGACAGATTCTGCGGCAAGATTGTAGACTACAAAGAGGGAAGCTCTCTCTCCAAGGTTGGAAGGGCGGACATCATTGGGAAGAGGGCAGATGAGGACACTTCTCTCAATCCCAATAATACACCTTTGAAAGAGATCTCAACAAATACTCTATCCTCTCTTGCGAAAGAGTTTGTCCCATTCTACTTAGTTTCACATTTTGGACACAAATTTCAATTCTGGCTAGATCCTTCCGCATACCTCAAAACATTTTTCGATCTGGCTATTGAGACAATTTCAGGAGGCGAAGACTTTGCAAGTGATGAACCTTTAGCTATTGACTACTCTGAATGCTCACGCACCACACCAGTTGAAAATTTGCAGGTTGAAGAGGTTGCAGAACCAGATTGTACCAAGGTGAAGAAATACATGACGTGGTCCAGTGTGGTTAGGATGGCGTTGGTGGAACCTCTTGAAGCTATTCCATACTCCAACTGAAATTAGCACTGCCCCCTCCAGTTCTATCAACCAGTGTCATAGAGGAAGACACAATCAAAAAATTAAAAATAAATCTACATCTAAAACATGGAATATGAATACTAGATTACTAGAAGAATGACGAGAATAATGCTGACTGACTCAGAAAGGGAAAAGTCACTAGCCTTGGAGGAGAAATGTAACAAATTCTCTACCAGATCGGGGACAATTCAACATAACAATAACAAAGCAAGGAGGAAGAATAAAAAAAGGAAGGGTAAAAAATGCTAAAGCCGGATTGGGATCTAGAAGCAGCCACTTTGAGCTCCATGTTCTACTGCCATATAAGTTTTTTTACTGATGCTCTTTTAATGATATTTTATTGGTTGATACCGAGCTTCTCTGTGATTGTGTACAAGTTTTTTTGCCCTACTTACACTCCTGATGGCTAAATTTTGACATAAGGTCTGGTTGTGACCTTCATACACTGGATTACATTGTGCTGATTGAGAATTTGGGTCAGAGATGCTGGTGCAAGACTGCTATGGTCTTTAAAACAGTTTGGGGAACTTTGTTTCCGGAGAGGGGCAATGATCAGGTTCTTTGCTTTTGTCCACGTGCTTTCAAATTTGTGTGAGGCAAATCATACTATAGGGGATCCAATCAAGCCGATGTCCAAAAGTTAGCATCATTTTATGAGTTTAGAGATAACAAATCAGCGTCAATATTCAACGTTTCCTCTTATTGGGTGTACACGTTTAGGCTTTTTTGTTTCTGTACCTTTCTGTTACTTGTTCTTTTGGTTCACTTGAACTTGGCAGGCTCTAAAAAAACTTTATATATATGTGTGTGTGTGTATATATATATATATATATATATAGATTTTGGTTCTGGTGAGAATGCGATCTTAGGAGAGAAATGAGAATGAATCTGGTGCTTTAGATTGTGCGATCTAAGGGTCAGGATTGCATCAAAATTAGGTGCAACAAAATGGTTTGAAAATGCATCACGTCGAAATGCATCATAATCCTTTGAAAATGCACTATCTCAAAATCTGAGCGCAGGATGCAATCTGAGCCGCACGATGAATCAGATCCAACGGCTAGATTTTATTCTTATTTCTCTCCACAAGGTGCATTCTCACAGGAACCGGCCCCTATATATATGTGTGTGTGTGTGTGTGTGTGTGTATATATATATATATATATATGCAAAATTATATATCGATATATGTATGTATGTATATGTATATGTCTGGGGTTAGGCGTGGGTGTGGGTGTAGGTAATAGGTAATAGGTATATGTATAAGTATATCATCAACGAGATGAACAACATCATTGTTGACCCATTCTTCATCCTATTGGAAGTCTTCTCTAATCAAAGGGTCAAGCTCGTTACTTCTTTGCGTTGCTTTTGAAACCTAGTTGAAATCTTCCAATTATACTAGATATAAACCAAGTCATTCAATCTCTTATGCTCCAACCTGTTTCTTCTATTTGTTTGGCTCTAATTTTTTTTAAAATGAATGAACAAGGTCGCTCTATATGTTACAATTTAATTTGAATTTACTTCATTGCACCCCAAACCTTACTCTGACTTACATTTTGCATCCCAATCTGCACATATCTCTTTCTCGCACCCCAAGCTTCAGTGTTTTTTGACATTATGCTCTCTAGTCGTTCCGCTGTCTGACTGCCACCTTGTCATGAATTAGCACGTCATCAACACTCACCAGTATAAACTTCCTTAGGAATGGTTGAAAAGCTCCATTCATTAGAGCTTGAAATGTCGAAGAGTTATTTGAATTTTTTGGCATTTAGTATTTAGAATTACAGGTGACCGAGAAGCAAGGGCCTCTTGCTTTTGCTACTTGACGTTTCTTTTGGAGTCCTCATGCTATGTTCATTGATCTCTTCAAATGTGGTGGATTTTGGTCTTCTACATTGATTTGAAGGTGCACATCTTGCCCGGTAGTGAACTAGCCTGGTGGGCGGCGGTGGAAGTCCACCAATTGATCTTCTCGTACTGAGGTTGTTCGAGCCAATTCTAAAAGACTAAAACCTCTCCTCTTCTTGTTCCACCAACTCGACATTTGCCTTATTTGAACCAATGTTCCTAATAAGTTTTGCATTTGGGGCAGGCTGAAATTCAAGTTGCAATATTGTTCCGAATTTTCCCACCGCACATTAGGATATCTCTTACCAAATTCCACAAGTCACATTTTTTATTCTCAGGAGAGATGTGACGCTGGTAAACTGACTTTTTCCCAGTCCTCTGTTCATTGATTTTCAAAAAAATTGTTAGCATTGGTTCAACCAACCTTGGGTCATTTTCCCTGCCATATGGGGAAAAAGTCTGTCGTGCACATTTTGGATTTAGCATTCATGCCCCTTTCCATGTGTACGTCCAGATACAATGGTGGTGTGGTTATCCGCAATGGCTTTCAGTGCTCTGCAAGTGCACTGGCAGCATCTCTTTAAGAATCTGCCACAGCTCACCAATTAAGGCTTCAAAGGATGCCACAGTTTTGGTTTCACTTGATTCCGCCATTTGTTCTTGTTCTGTTGCAAAGTTCTTACACTTGAGGATATTTATGTTTAAAGATGTTACTACCTTCTTACCTTTTAATCATATATAAATATTCTCTTCTTGCAGGTGTATCTGAAAATGCTGTCTCAGGTCACATACAGTTATTGATTCCGGGTGAAACTGCTTGCTTTGCTTGTGTGCCTCCTTTGGTAACCTCTCCCCCCCCAATTGATTTGGTTCATGTCAACAAACACACTGTCAATTTAGGATACACAGTTATCCCCAATTGATTTGGTTCATGTCAACATAACACTAAAATGATACTAGTTACTAATGCACCAATTGCTTAAACCAGTTTGTTTGGGGCACCCCCCTGTTGGTAAAAATGATGGTTCCTACCCCCTAATCTCCCCCCTAAACCCCCCACCCCAGCCCACCCCCTGTCCCCTCCCAACTCTGACAGTTAACTTTTTTTCAGCCAAGCGAAACAACCTTGTGTCATTCTCCTTCAACTGGATTGCCCATTCTCCTGCCCCTGTTGTTCATGATTTGGTTCTGGATCTTCCTTTTTTTTCACCAAACTGACCGAAGCATGAAACAACCTTTTGTCATGGTCTCCTTCCACAATCCAATCCACTTTAGCATGTTGTATCTTCGATAATTAGGATGCTTATGAGTTTAAGGTGGAATTCCTTAGTGATCTGAGGTAACTCTCATTAATATTGGCCTTGATCTGCTTTTGAATAGCATTAATCTTACTTCTCAACATCACATTGCTTATGAATCTGGTAGAATTTTTCTCTGTTAAGACCTTTCAAAGGTCTCTTGAGCGTTCTTAATTTCTGGATCAGCTGGTACATAGGTCTCCCAGGAATCTGCTTATCCCATACTTTAAGAATAGTATGAAAACTGGGGTCTAGAGCCCACATGTCACAATATTTGAAATCCCTTGCTTTGCTCACGGAGTTTTCAACTGCAATTAACAAAGGAGTATGATCAGAAATGCCTTCCCCAACAATAATAGTCTTAATACCAAGAGTAGTCATCCATTCCGGCCATTTACCTGTCTATTTTGGAGTGAATTCTGCAACCCTGACCCTATTTGTTAGACCAGGTATAGAAAGAACTTCTGAAAGGAACCTTCTCCAAACTACAATTAATATTACATTCGGCGAAGTCTTTGATCTCCTCTACTGTGACTTTGTTACCACCTACTCTGTCATTAACACTAGTGTTGATAATAGTGTCATTAGAGAACATGTATGTTCATAACTATATATTAATACTAGTGTGACTTAGGCTCCATTCCGTTCAATTTATTTTTTCTGATCTGATCTGATTCTAATAAGTTCTGATCTGATCTGGTCTGATCTGATTGGATCTGATCTGATCTGATCTGATTGGATCTGATAGGATCTGATCTGATCTGATTGGATCTGATCTGATCTGGTCTGATCTGATTAATTATGATTTAATTTAAAATTTCAAATCAATAATTTAATTTGACTTTATAATAACGTTTGAAAATTGTAATGATAATTCATATTATAATATAATCAATATTTTTTATTTAATGATTATTTTTTAATAAAATAAAAATAGTTAATTCATATATTAGAATAATTATTCATA